AACTAGCACAAAGATAGAAACATATGATTAACATTAGAAAATAGTAAAAAAAATCAGTTGAAGTATGGAGTCTTTCTGCATGATCACTTTAATGATGCCTGATTGAACTTGTCCAGAAAAACTGGAAAATTCTATCTGCTACGAAGGATCCTTTATTCTATTAGCAGCTCATTAAATTACATCACTACTAACTAGGGAAAAAAAAATTACATCACTACTATTTTCTTCCATGTTGATATGAGAATAATTGTGAGAGTCGCACTTCTTGTGATCCTCTAAGGCATCTCAGCATGTTTAATACTTGTCCTCGGTTACTTTGCTGAGAAGGCATACCTGTTTACCATCATAATCTCTGCTATACTCGGAGATCTAGAGGTGGAGGGAATTTTGATCTGTTCCAAATTGCCAAATAGGATATATTTTCAATTTATTTATTTATTGCATTATTTCTAGACCCAAGTTTGGGGGTCATCTTGAGCAATGTAAAACGAACTTTATTATCCAAAAGGTTATTTAGATTTTTAGTAGTGTGACTTTCTTTGTCACCATGTTGCCAAGAGTATGGTAATTGAATTTGTGAGATGCCAATTGGGGATCTTCCCCTTGCTCTTTCTTTCCCTCAGCTTTATAGGATTGCTTCTGACAGGCAGGCCTTGGTGGTTGACTGTTATCACCTTGATAACGGAAGACTAACTTGGGACGTTCAGTTTAGGAGGCATTTTCAGGATTGGGAAATTGAGGAGGTCACTCGTTTTTCGGAGTTACTGTATCTTCAGGTGATCTCTCATGAGGAGGCTGATTGTTGGCTTTGGAGTCCACATTCTCAGGGTCGTTTTGAGGTGAGATCCTTTTTCAGGTGCCTTTCTGATGGGGAGGGTGGCACTTTCCCTTGGAAGGCTATTTGGCATTCCAAGGCTCCCCTTAAGGTGGCCTTTTTTGCTTGGACGTCTGTCTTGGGTAGGATTTTAACCCAGGATAATTTGAGGAGAAGAATGCAAGTGGTCATCAATCGCTGTTTCTTGTGTCGTTGCGATGAGGAGACAGTGGATCACCTTCTGTTGCATTGCAGTATGGCCAGAGATTGTTGGGATTTGATGATTGGGTTGTTTGGGATTCCCTGGGTTATGCCCTGTTCCTCTAGAGGGTTGATTGAGGCTTAAAGAGGTGTCTCTGTTGGGGCGCTCATCCGGGATGCTTGGAGGGCTACCCCTCTCTGTGTTTGGTGGTGCATTTGGCTCGAGAGGAATCGAAGATACTTTGATGGCAAGGAGAAACCCATTTCTATGCTTAAGTTTTCTATTATTTCTACTCTCTTTTGTTGGGTCTCAGGGAGAGATTATCGTTCTGTTGAAGAGATTGTTATGTTTTTGGCCTCTTTGAAGGCTTGAGGCTCTTTTTGGTTTTTTCTTCTTGTTTCCTTGGGTTTCGCTCCCCTTTGAGCGCTTTTTTATAAAATTCTTACTTATCAAAAAAAAAAAAAAAAGAGAGAATCACAATTGATTATGGAAAGCCATTGATTGTGTATATTCTAGGTTTACTATCTTGTTAGATTCAATGCTAGAGATGAAAACGGAATAGGTTCACAAAAGGCTTACTATTGGGAGATATCTTTGATAAAGCTGTTTCCCTTACCTTTTCAGTTTATATATATTTATATATTATTTTTTCTTTGAGGAGTCTTGCAGAGGAACCAAGCTTTACAATGCGAACGGTTTGTGGAGGTTACATGAAGTGTTGCTTTGGCATCATGTTGTCAAGAATATAGTTATTAGGTCATGTAGGATACCAATTGGGAAAATTGTTGTTGCTTGCAGTAACCTTTGATGTAGGGTATTCTAGGGTTTTGTCATGTTAGATTGAATGATAGAGATGGATATAGAATTTGTTCTAGGAGGACTATGTGGTTGGAAGACAGCCTTTACAAAAAGGTTTCCTTTGTCTACTCTGACTTTCTAGATTTAAAGGGTCTTCCAAGTCTCTCCTGTCTCTCTTACTTAGGATTGCCTTTGGGAGTTTCTTCTACACGAGTTGGGAATTGGGATCCAATGATTAGTAGATATGAGAAAAGATTAGCAGGATGGAAAAAGTGGTATCTATCTGGGGGGGGAGTCACACTTATTAAGAGTACTCTCTCATCCCTTCCTACCTACTTTTTATCTTTGTTTCAAATTCCATGCTCTGTTGCTGAAAGGATTGAAAAAATTCAGAGGGATTTTCTTTGGGGTGGAAGGGGTGAGGAGTTTAAGTATCATTTTGTTAATTGGGATCATGTCTGCCAACCGTTGAGGTTAGGCGGGTTAGGCATTCGAAAAATCGTTCCTTTTAATCGTGCTCTCTTGGGAAAGTGGTTATGGAGATTTGGAAAGGAACGCCATCGTCAGTGGAGAAGAGTTGTCTCGTGTCGTTTTGGTGAGGAGAGTGGGGGCTGGTCATCTCTTCCAGTTACTATAACGGGAGGCGTTGGTGTGTGGAAATTCATTCGGAAGGGCTGGGATGTTTTCTCCACACACATTAGATTTAAAGTTCGTGATGGCAGACATGTTCGTTTTTGGGAGGACCTTTGGTGCGGAGATCAGTTGTTGTCTCACTCCTTTCCTATACTTTACAGTGTTGCAGCCAATAAGCATGTCTACGTGATTGATTGTTATCAACTTGATAATAATGGAGTTACGTGGGATGTGCGGTTTAGGGGCCCCTTTCACGATTGGGAAATGGAGGAAGCTTGTGTTTTTTTGGATACGTTGTATAGGCAGAAGGATATTGGCAGAGGGTGTGATGATATTTTATGGGTTCCTTTAGCTCATGGTAGGTATGGTGTCCGATCCATGTTCTTGTGTTTGTCCAATTTCGTTGGTCACGAGTTTCTTTGGAAGTCTGTTTGGCGTTCTAAAGCTCCTCTTCGAATTGCATTCTTCGTTTGGACTGCCACATTGGGAAAGATTTTGACATTGGACAATTTGAGAAAGAGAGGCAACATCATTGTTAATTGGTGCTGTTTATGTAAAGCTGATAGTGAATCCGTGGATCATATTCTTATGCATTGTCCTGTGGCGTATGATTGTTGGAGCTTTATTTTTTGCATGTTTGGCGTTTTTTGGGTAATGCCTAAGCACTCCTCACAATTGATTAACGCTTGGAGAAGGTGTCCTATTAAAGAACAAGCTCGTGATTATTGGAGGATTGTTCCACATTGTGTCTGGTGGTGTTTGTGGCGTGAGAGAAATAACAGATCCTTTGAAGGAAAAGAATCGTCTTTAGCTAATTTAAAAATTCATATTCTTCGTTCTTTGTTCTGTTATGTAAGAGGAAATGTATGCTCCTCGATTGATGATTTCTTTGGTCTCTTGGATTCTATTGGTCCTTGGATCTTTTTTCTTCTTGTATTAGGGACGCGTTCCCCTTTTGAACGTTTTTCTAATATATTTTTACTTATCAAAAAAAAAAATAAGTCTCTCCTGTCTTTCCTAAATTTCATGTCACTTCAGGGTTTTAAAGATTTGCTTGTTAATGTCAAAGTTGTTGGGTTTGCATCTTTGCATGTGTTATTAAATTACGTATATCATCTCATTTTGTCTATATGAGAGATGTTGGTACCTTGGGAACATTAGTAGCTTTGAACAATTTCAGTTCTTTATTCTATTCCTTTTTAGAGTGTGATGACGTTGCTGCTTTCAAATTATCAAAAATTTTTGACTGATGTTGTGGCCCGGAATTTGTTTTACCCGAGAAGTGAGCTTTTTGATCCATGTTTTCACTTGTAGGTTGTGGACTTTAGTACTCCCTTGTAGCCCGGATATAAGGGCACTTAGGGTTTGGAGTGGGATAACGAGAACACTGAAAATCACAGGAAAGAGAGTGAGAGCTAGGGTTTGGGGGGGGCTAGATCTTGCATTCTCCTGTTTTTCACATAGTGAAATGTTTCGTTGGATTTTCACCGTGGACGCATGCACAACTTGTGTCGAACCACGTAAATCCATGTTCTTTTTTTCATTATTAAATGTGTTCTTTGTGTGTGGTGTGTTTACTTTTCTGTCATGATTTGTGATTTGTTCTTGGTTCGCTGCGTTTGTCATAACAGTTTGGAAGACCAAGCTTCCCCTAAAGGTGAAGGCTTTGGCATGAACAAGTACCCAAGTAGAGTGCAAACTGATGAGAAATTTTAAGCTTGATTTTCAATAGTTGTGAGATTGTTGACTCTTCGATCATTCATTGCATTTTTCATATGCTTTTGGCAAAGACTTTTTGCTTTGGTAGCTCCAATAGATAGTTCGCTTAATGCTAAAGTTAACTTTAGAATTTGGCATGTATTTTGATGTTGCAGTTCTGTTGGCTGCATGCCTTCTGCAGACCCACATGTAAGATAGTGGTTGCATTTTGGGAATCTAGGGTAGCTTGGTGTTGGGGCCATATTTCAAAGATCATATTGGTAACATTTTTCTTTCCGGGGCAAATGAGATAAGTTATTAGCAGAGATTGTTGCAACTTTATAATGTTTAAGGAAATAGTTGGGTCATATATCTTGGTGGAAGGTTATTTAGTAGCGATTAGTTGGTTTAGGTCGACAAGCTTAGGTACCTTTTTGTGGTTGCAAGTTTACTGTGGAATTTCATTTTCATGTTTTTTTTGGTTTTTTACCTTTACTAATATTCTTTATACTTCAATGTTATCTCTAATTATTCTAAAAATGTTTGGAAAATGTCTGAACATAAATTGATAAACACACACACATTGTTTTTGTGATGAAACTATGACAGGGATGTATTACGCTTCAGTTGTGTCTTTATTCTGCATGTTACTGTGACTTAGTACCTTTTGTATTTTGCAATAACTAGATCATGCACAAGTATGATTTGCTGCTTTGACTCGATTCATCTCTTCCTTGATCGTGTATCAATTATTGAATAAAAAGTCATATCACCTCTTTAAAAGAAATTTTGTTTTTTTCATCTGTCAAAATTGACAAGAACTAGTTTTACACTTGATATGGTTTTATATCACAGGATAAGTCTTCAACAGCATCACATGATGAAGACTACTTGCCACGCCGAGATGAACAACGCTCCACAGTAAGAGGGTCTACATTCTCGCAGAGGGACTCCAGAACACGCCGTTCTAGTCCTGATCCATCTTATCCTGACAAATCCAAAATGACTGATAGAAATGCAGAACCCAGTGAGGTATTATGGATTGGGTTTCCAGCGTTATTGAAGGTGGATGAAGTGATTTTAAGGAAGGCCTTTTCACCATTTGGTGAAATTGAGAAGATTACCGCATTTCCAGGTCGCAGTTATGCTTTCGTTCAGTTCAGAAATGTAATGGCAGCCTGCAGGGCTAAAGAAACTCTTCAGGGAAAATTATTTGGCAATCCCCGTGTACATATTTGTTTTGCAAAGAGTGAATCTGGCGCATCCAACAGCGGAAGGAACTCAATGAATGCCCCTCCCTCCCCACATTTCCAGTCATATGGACGCTCAGAACCTTCTGAGGACTTTCGACAGGATAGGAATTTTGGGAAACTATCTGGAGATCCTACCATGAGATCTCCTCATTTTATCTCCAATTTGGAGTCTGGGGATCCTGATGCCATGAGTTTTGGCAGAAAGGGTAATTTATGGATGGATGGGAATGGTACATTTGAACAGAGGAGGTTCCATGAACCGGGGCCTGAACTAGGACTAGCAGAAAATATGTATGATCGTCGTAGTAGTCCTTCAAGAGACCGAGGTGCTCACTTCCGTGATTTTTCTCCTCAGCCATTCCCTCGGAAAGGTGCATTCTATGATGATCCTTGGGACTTGCCAGATGATGCCTTGCTTTTTCATGGAAATAAGAAACTAAAGACTGGCGCCTTTCCTCCTGAGAACGAGCTTCCAGAGTATCCTTTCTCTGATTTAGACCAAGCAAAACATGTTCTTCCTAGGGTATTCCCTGATTTTTCCCAGCCTGAGGCCCTAGATAAAAATTCAGAATCTGGACCGTATGGTTATAAACATGTCCCAGATCACTCAATGAATCTAACACAACCTTATGGGGAAAGGTCCAATCACTGGAATGCATCTTATGATAGTTTCCAGATAGGTTCTGCTGCGATGCCTTCAAACCCTGTTGAGTGGAAAAGACCTACTCCTGAATTGAATCAGTCTTCTTCGACTGAAGAGTGGAAATGGGAAGGAACCATAGCAAAGGGAGGAACTCCCATCTGTCGTGCTCGCTGCTTTCCTGTGGGAAAAGTACTGGACATGATCTTGTAAGTCGTGATTTTTTTAGTTGCCGATGGTTTCAAACAGGTTCAAATGTCTAAAAGGCTTCCCATTGTGTGTGTGTGTGTGTGTGTGTGTCTGTTTGTTCCAGCTTTAATATATGCTAACTATTTGATTCTCTCTTGCCCACTTTTATCTTTGTCCTTGGAAAGTAAGACACCATTTCTAGGCATGCAAGGCTGGCCAACCTCATTTGTAGTTGGCCTGTGAAGCATTTGTTAAGATTGGATTGGGACTGGGCTGGAAAATCCAACCAAATTCCCCAAATTAAATACGGGTTGGGCTTAGGTTGAGGTATCGGGCAACCCGAACTCATTCCTTATTAATATATATACACTTATATATTAGCATGCAAATTTATTAGGGTAAGAAGCTATGCTACATGGACTTCGAAACTATGTGAATTACCCGTGTCAGACACACAATACTCAGGATCTGTGCCCAGCAATTTTTGGTTGGAGATGCACCTAAAAAAGATATCCAGTAATTCAATGCTATTATATTATTGCTTCAAAAGGAGTAAAATGCCTATAGAATAAAATAAAACTATTAAATAATATGAATTTGTAGCTTTGTCCTGTTTGGGAATTTTACACATTCGACTGGCAGATACATACCTGCACTGACCCATGTACTTGGGTCCATGTAACATAGGTAGTTCATGATAATTTTTGTCTGTTTTTATGGTAGAGTTATTACTTTAAAAGACATTTATATTTTTTTTGGCCTTTGAGATGGAATAGTCCTTGGGTTGCTGTTAACCCGACCTCAGCCCCCGGACTTCCGAACCAGTGCTCAAGCGGAGTTTAAAGTTTGAATGCTGGTTAGAGGCTCAAGTTGGGAGCTCAGGTGAGCATCAAGTTGTATGGAGCTTGGGTCAAAGGTCTCTAACTTTGGACGGAAAGGTGGCCAAGCCTCAATTAACCTAGCCTGTCCGAGTTGTAACCTTAATTTAATCTTTGAATAGTATTCTCATCACTGCATTCTTTTTGTTGTTAAATTACTCTTCCAGTTGTGATTAATTATTTTCCATTTCTGAAGTGAGTACTTGCTATCCATTTTAGTCATCTAAATAAACGGAACCCATTTATAATAATAGTGCCATGGTGTATGAGGACACAATTCTATCCTTCTGGATGAATGTCATAACAATTCACTTTATGCCATTAAAATGGATTAATTTTCAAATTGTATGAGAAAGACTGGATTCGTTTCAGGTGTTCTGTAGAATAAAAGGTCAGTTCCACCGGACATCCAAATGCTCTCCAACATTAAAAACTTGTACAATTTTTTCTTGTTTACCTGTTGAACTTGCATAATGGAAGTGCTCTTATAAAACCATTTCAATTCTGCAGGCCTGAATTCTTGGATTGCACCGCAAGAACTGGTCTAGACATGCTTGCAAAACATTACTATCAAGCAGCTAGTGCTTGGGTGGTGTTCTTTGTTCCTGAAAGTGATTCAGATATTGGATTTTATAATGAATTCATGCATTATTTGGGGGAGAAACAACGAGCTGCAGTTGCTAAATTGGATGAAAAGACTACTTTATTTCTTGTACCCCCTTCAGAATTCTCGGAGAAAGTACTGAAAGTACCAGGGAAATTGAGCATATCTGGAGTCATATTAAGGTTAGAGAACCCAGGTTCCAATTTTGGGTCTCTTCATCATCCTCATGAGAGAAAAGATACATTGCCTTCAGAACCTGTTCCCTCAGTGCCTTCTTTCCCAAATAATCTAGGGAAATCTGGAGTTAATGATATACCTTTTTCGGGGAATTTGTCTATGGCAGTTCCTCCCACAACATTTGCAGGTTCCCCCCATCTTATTGGAGGTTTATCTGAATCCATTAATGAGAACCGGCATGAATATATGCTCCATCATCGGAACCCTACATTGGGACCAAACTGGTCTACTCATCATCCACAAAACTTCAATTCTAGTACTAAAATTATAGCATCAAATGCATCCAACAGTGTTGTTGATCCCATCATTAAGGGATATAACCCGGCCATGCCTAGGGCTCTGCAGGAATCAAGTTTGAGTAGTTATACAACTGGAACTTCAGGTATCCCATTAGCTGGAAGTAGCAAGTTGTCCTTTCAGGAAACCAAACCTCCAGTTTCTTCATCTATGGGTTATTCAAACCTTCAACCAGACCAACTTGCACAGTTGGCATCATCTCTTCTTGGGCAACAAAGGCAACCAGGGGGTGGTCCATCTTTACCTATCGGGGAAGATATTAGGCAGCCAAGCACCATGTATCAGTCTGAAAATTTATATGGAACTTCCCAGAGATATGCTTTACAAAATAATCAGGAATCCTCTGAGCGATTATTATCTCAGTTTGGCCAAGTGCGACAATTGCAGCAGCAGCAGACATCAAGCATGCCTGCAGCGCCTCAAATAGAGCTTCAGGTAGGCAGTCAGGGGAACGAACAGCTGCATAGTACTGGTACACAAGAGGAAGTGGAGACAGATCCACAGAAACGTCTGCAAGCGACATTACAATTAGCAGCAGCTCTTCTTCAGCAGATCCAACAAGGAAAAGGGACCTAACTGGCGAAAAGTATGAAAGATGGCAAAAATGAAATTCTATAGTGTTTCTCAGAAGCACCATGGTTACTTGGTTCTTACATCTTTGCTTTGTGGAAGGCAGTGGACCAATCAGTTTAGATGGCTACTTTAATGTTATAAAATAGTCGAACCTTTTCTTAGTCCTTTTGTTGTTATGTTGCATGGACTTCATGATGTTGGATAATAGACCTTGTCTTTGTCTGTCAGTGATGAAAGGTCTCAATTTGTTTTATATTTGTTATGCAGATACCGTGTCAATCATTTGCTTATAGGCATAGTATCTTATTTCATCCAACCTCTTTCTTACAGCTTTTTGGCGATATGATGTACAAAGGCAGCATGCATTTTCAGTTTTTTAGGTGGCTGGCCATAAGATGTCAGTAGCAAAAGAAATACTTAAACAACTAGCATTTTCAGCCTAGTTGAAATCTGGAGAGTATGCATTGATTTAATCCTGTTCTTGTTAATCTTTAGCCCATATAAAAGTGTGAAAATAGCATAAAAACAGGACATGTTCTCATTCATGAAGGGGATAGAGGAAGTGCTTTTATGGATGCAGAAAATAATCTTGGGATTTAAAAAAGGTGGAAGTGCTAGGGGAAAAGTGCCATAGTCCACATTGACGGTAGTACTGGAGGAAGAGGAAGACCAAAATTAACATAGGTAGAGTTAGTAAACAAAGATATGGTAGCCTGTGGATTGACCGAGTCTATAGCCTTAAATAGGACGGAATGGAAAAATGAGATTCATATAACCAACCCCAAGTAATTGGGAAAAGGCTTGGTTGTTGTTGTGGAAGTGCAAGGTAGGACAGCAGTGTACCTGTGTTTTTTTGCGGAAAATCTAGGTTTTGGTTAGGTTGTTTCGCCTTATTTATTGTGTTCCAACTTCAGATATAGTACCACTTTTAATCAAGTGTTCAGCTTCAGTGCAGTTTTAGGATAAAAAAAACCTTTCTCCTGGGAACTCTTAGAGATTTTATTGAGGGTGAGGGAAAAAAATGTTACCATACAAAAGAATTGGCACTACGTACATATATTTACTAGAGATCAAAAAAAAAAAACTCCCAACTGAAACTATTTAATAGATTCCTATGCTCACGTGCTTGATTCTCGACAATGATGTAGATGCATCCCTAGAAATACAAATAAGTTGATGTATCTGTGGCATTTGTTGTGTCTCTGCAAAGAATAGACCGTGCTTCAATTATTGAACGAGGGGGCTCAATATCTTTCTCCTGCAGTGCATTTCCTAACAATCGCTGCATCTGGGAAGCAAAAGTGTCATCCAGAATCTACAAGGCAAAGGAGAAACAATTCAGCCATAGGTAAACACAAGTGTCTAAACAAAATTTGACGTAGATTTGGGTTTCTAACACACTTACCCCAAGAGCATAATATGATCCATTGTACCATACACGATTTTCCTTTCTGCCCTCTAGAAATTTCAGTACAATCTAGTAAAATAATATGAGTAAAACACATCAGAATCAAACATCATTGGAAATGAAAAGGAGGGTATATTTCTCTCTTTACCTGTCCCATTCTGTCCCAGAATCCACGACAGATTGCAACAAATATTCGACTTGTAAACACTTCATGCAAGTTGGATATGGAATCAACGAGTTGTGAACTCAGCATTTGCATCCTTTCGCGGACTTCCGTTTCTCTGTCTGCTTCCTTTGTTTCCTCCAGGATCCTTTTTAGCCGTGTGCTCCGACTTGCTTGCATCTGGAACGTCATTTGTAAAGTATAACTGAAATAGACAATAATAGAGGACCAAAAAATGTACAAATACACAAAGACATGCACTATGCTGTCTTGAAGAACATATTTCCTATTCTATCTTTTGTCCAGCTATAAATTTATGCTGTTCCAGTTCTCCCCACTAGTTTAATGAATTTAGACGTGCTTTGTTGAGCTTGATTATTATTGCTCCCTTGAGTTAATTCGACTTGTTTTTAACTAGTAGATTTTCATCATTAGTATGTATATTAGATAATATATACTTGTAAATTCCTATCAATAGGTATATTATTTCACTAGTAAAATGGCAAAAAATAAAAATATTACAATAGGTATATTACTCTTCACTAGTAATAGGAATTAGACTTGTAATAGGAATTTTTAAACATGGCAATTTCTAATTTATAATGGACCTCAGGGACGTGCTGCTAAAAGAATGATCCATATAAAGTAAAATCAGATTGTGGGCAGAGCATACATTGTTAACAAGCTTCACCACTGTTGCCTGCATGTAGTTTTTGTATTTAGTTCTCAACAGAACAGTAATTCCATTCATCTGCTCCCCGAAAAGTGACTTCTTGTCTCCAACTACGGGAAGATAGGATGCCCAAGCCTTTAAGATGTCCTCAACTCTACAGTGTAGAACATCGAGGATTCTCTTGATGGTGTTCAAGAAAGTTCCCAACTGCCAAAGAGAAGCAAAAAGGAAAAGTAAGAGAATAACTTCTTCTTTTTTCATGTGACTAAAGGAGAATGCTTTGATCATGATTTCGTTGAAACTACCTAACTCTGGCAAGCCCAAAATTTGACCTTTCTGATCAATTGGTCAAATCTACTCGAAGTTTCAGAATTTTTAGTCTAGATTTCAAGCTAGATTAGTAATAAATAAAATTCACCAATTTTTTTGCTCCCTGGTCAACAACATCCACATTTTGCTGACTATGGTGATGTGTATTTCACCAAATATATGTGTTCAGGAATCTGTTTTTGCATCCTAATTCAAGTAACTAAAATTTCCAGAATGTTACAACCATACTCTGAATTTTGATCTAGTATCCATGTATATTGGGGAATCTTATAACCTCTCAGCATCTCATTTTGGCCGACTCAGATAACTATTTGCAGAATCTATACAATGATCCTAAACAGTATGCATGTGTAGCACTCACTTGATTAGGAAAGGTATGAATTGCATTTGATTGCCTTCTTGTCAGCTTCTGAACTTGCATACCAAGCCTTTTTGGAATGCTAGCTTTCAAGGGAGTCAAGTTATCACTGTACTGCCTTTCCAGAGCTTTTATGATTGCTCTTTCCACATTTGCAACAGCCTTCCAAATTATCAATGATGCATAAGGAAAAGCATTAGCAACTGAAAGAATTACATGGCAACAATACAATAATTGAATCATGTATACAAAAGCATGCATGTAGACATATAAACATGAAATATATACATATATGCATGTACATACAGTTTTCATGAAAAATCAGGTCTTTTTTCAGGAACTTACATTTTCCAAAATCAACGAGTATTGAGGCCAACGGTTGATCACAACATCATAATTAGTTAGCATTTCTTTGATTTTCTCATACATTTCCTCTGCAAATGGTGAGGTAGAATGATTTGTGATTACTCCAGACCATGGCACCTGCAAAAAGTAGTTCCTTATTAGAATACATTTCATTGCCGATTTGGACCAAGTTGTTTCTAGCCCTTGAATTAAACAACGGCGTCTAATTGAACCTTGTGGGAAAGAGAATTGTTAAATGTTAACAACCGTCTACTCTAAAAGCTTTTAGAGTAGATGGTAGTTAACATGGTATTAGAGCAGGCAAGGTCCTGTGTTCAAACCTCACTGTCACCTGATAATTAAATTGAAACACGTGTAGGACCAAAAGAAGGCTACATGTGAGGGGCGTGTTGAAGGATTTAAACATTAAAGTTACACCCTCTCTAGCAGCATAAGCTTTTAGAGTATATGGTAGTTAACATTATATGTATATACATCCGTAGTATTTCAACGAGTGGAGAAGACTAAAATGGCATCAGTGCATCATAATGCTTGAAAGAGAATACCTTCTCTCCCTTGCAAAGTTCAAGTAAGTTAAGTTGCATATCCTGTACCCACACCATTATGTAATTGTGGTACAAGTTCCTCGAGTCCACGCCACCTTGCACTGGACTGCAGCATAGAAAAACATCATAATGTCAAAAAGAAAGCTTCAACTTTTTCATAGCCAACAGTATTTCTAGCATATTCTGGCCAAGATGAATTGCCAACATATTCTTTCCCTCCAAATATATGGAAGTTTGAACAACTGTGTAATAAGGAGGATTTGAGTGAAGTTCTTTTTCATAAACCTGATACTCCATGACTCGAGCTTCCTTTCAAAATCAGCAGTTGCTATCAGAAGTTCATTCACATGTGGCAGGGGGCTAGATGGTGGCCATGCAGTGAGAAAACCTCTAAGCCTCTTGCACAACTGACTGCTATAAACCGTTGCAGTGATACTTGACAGGTCAATTGAACTGAAATAAGGGGAACACATCAAAAGATTTAGCATCATCATCTTAAAATGTTCATAGCACAGTTAATCAACTTTTATTGGTGCTTATTTATAATAGAAAAGTCTGGTAAGCATTTCAGAATTTAACACAGTTTCCATGATGATCACCCAATTTGCCAGTGTGATATCTCATGAATTCAACTAGGAAGAATTGATTATTTAAAAGTCAAATGTGAGAGTTTGAGCCTGTATAGTTGATAAATATGTTAATAGAGACTCCAGTACCTGGGGAGTATGTGCTGATTATGGATCTTAATATCTGCTTGAATTTCATTGCTTATGTTTATACACAGGTTCTTCATCTTCAAATATGCTGTGGATATCGTTATGGAGTCCATAAGAAAACCATCAGAGTTGCTTGAAACAAACTCATCAGTCTCTACCAGGAGCTGCCGGCACCTCTTTGTTGCTGCTGTCTACGCATGTGAACGAAAACAGAGACAACCAATATTAAAATCATATATCAAGAAAGTAAATGATGGACCTTCTGTCTTCACGTCTGGATCCTTCCCCTTCCATCTCCTATATAAAATTGTTCACACTTCACACTGTTCTATTTGTTGAACAACATGTTAGGTGTGCACAAATCCATTCTACAAACCACTAACTACCTTTGCAGCAATGTCGTTATGCACACAGTTTGTTCACACAATCACACTACTGTATTTGTTAGGAACTTAGAATGCTGCTAAGCTCAAAAAACAAAAAAAAAAAAAAAAAAAAGATACAGCAATTATACTGACATGGGATTTCTGTCCACCTGGCATTTCTCTTTCTTTGATCCATTAAGATTATCTTTTCAGCGATTTAAATCTCAATAGAGTTTGTGCGGATCCAGGGGCTGAATAGCGCATGGTGTAAAATATTATGAATTGGATGGCTGGATGAGGGATAGCGGTCCTTATGATAATCATATATGTCCATATAATTTGCATGCAAAATATTTAAGATTATCTTTTCAGCGATTTAAATCTCAATAGCGCATAGTGTAAAATACTATGAATTGGATGGCTGGATGAGGGATAGCGGTCCTTATGATAATCATATATGTCCATATAATTTGCATGCAAAATATTTATGCACTTAAAACTGGTAACCGGTAAATATCGTTTACCTGTAAATAGTTTTTCAACATTGTCTGTGCATCTTGAGCAAGTATATCATGAAGAAGCGTGTATACTTGCACGGCAGCAGCCAGAGCTGGTGCAGCAGCCTCTGGTATTGGACCAAAGATGTTCGCTAAACCTGTAGGAGAGTTCTCGTCTAGTGACTTGTAGTTCTCAAAAACACTTGCTAAGATTCTCTCAACCAGTGTTTCGCAATCTAATAATATACTTTTCTGCAAGAGAACAAGTACAAAAAAATGTAAGGAGCAGCAGAAAACATGAAGCAACACATTATTTGTGAGGGGAACCTTATGCTAGAATTAGAACTCAGGGTTGACAAATTTAGTAACAAAAGCCAGACTCTAACTTTTGTCTTAATTTCGTAATAAGCTCTACCTTTTTCCTAATCAATATGGACGCTTCTATAGAGAAGTCCTGTCCTTGTTGGATGACAACACTAGTGGAGCACTCAGAATTGCAAGAAGCAACACCATGTCATCACATATCCAATCCACCTTGAACGTGTGTCACTTCCATATTTGAGTTGCTCAGAATTGCATCAATAATTTCTCTCCCTAGAGAAAAAGTAACTAACAAGACAGTTTGGAGACTAACCAACACATATACAAAGACTTCAAATATGGATATCTATATAAATCCCAAAAATAGAAGGCCTAACTCGTCTCCTTTTCATGACTTGGTGATGGTCCCTTCTACACTAGATACAGCATAAAACCAAAGGAGCAACCAACCAAATTTTCAAAGATTAACTGCTTTATTATATTAAGAAAACAAAATTCACACTATGTTAGTTTAATTTTGGCTATCAAGTTCGTATATGGTGTGCCTACTTATTTGCGGATGCGTGATTTCCTACATCATTTTACCATGTTTAGTGAATTTTAACTACCTTATAACCTTCTGGAAAAAAAATAACTATCTAATATGCACAGAAGTCATATTTAGGTGATTTAGAAGATAATAAATAAATAAAAGGGCTCACTTTATGGGGCTTGACTCATCTTTATAAAATTTTCTCAATCCTGGGCTACTGTTGTTTAATAGGCAGAGGGAAGCTTGAAAGTGATTACAAAGATCGTGGATGTAACAGCATACCTCTTGTCGTGTTAAACTTTTCTCAATCCTGGCCTTTATGATGGGTACAAGCAACTCGTGCACAAGCTCTAAGCAGTCTTTTGTGGGAGTGGCCACATTCATCACACATGAAAGATATCTATACAAAATAATAATAATAAAAAAAGGCAAATAAAAATTTTGTCGGGGGAACAAAAGGGAAGAGTATACTAACGAAAATTAGATCGACTTAAAAAAAAAATGATCTTCAAGTACCTCAGCTTAGTATATGAATCTGAAACTCCATAATAGTCAGCAAATTCGGTCAACAGCCATTTCCAAGGTCCATTTAGCCGTAAATTGCGTGAATGAAATTGTTGTGCACGCATAGCAGCCTCCAACAGTAGATCATATGCAAGTGTCTCCACAACAGGTCCACTCTGTCATATGTTAGAAGAAAAATCAGTATGACTCTGAATCTGATTTGCAGTACAACTAAGCAGGGACCTATCTTATTTGGGTGTAGGTACAGGTCTGAGCATCAGATGTATCAAATCCTCAGATATCGACATTGCTAAATATTCATATAATTTGTTTATTTATTTGGAATAACATAACATTTGTATGTGACATAGGGTTCAAAAAAGGCGTTTGACTCGTTTTGAAGCAATAATATAATATAATAGAACAATTGGATATCTTTTTTAGGTACATATCCAACCAAATGTGAAGGACGCGTGTCTTGTACCCTTGTCCAACTGTCGTATGTCCAACATGGGTATTTCATGTACTTTTGAAGAGTCCATGTAACATAGACATGGAGTATTTCACACCGTGCTAATGAAGAATTAAGGATTATAACTCCGGATCCAATTCATCCATACATAAGCCAACATATAGATCACTATATGAAATGTCCCTGAATCCCCTTACCACAAGTACAGGTATAGCCATTTGGAATGATATATACTCACATATATAATAATATATAGAAATTGTCAAGGACGGAGGTCTCACCTTTTGATGCTGACTCACTACCAGAGAAGGAATTTTAGTTGTCGATGATTTCTTTATATAATTAAATATAAACATAGATTTATTCAAAGAGGGTTCACGCCATGTAGATACCAGACTTTCATATATATAAGGGTAACCAATTAACTTGAGAGGTTACCAGAAATCTACCCCATTGGCTTTAAAAATACTATAGGAGGGCAAGCATGAAGCTTCAAGGTGTTCTCTACAATTACATATCGGTATTAACTTGAATATTACTCACCTATATGATTGAGCTAGACATCAAAAGGTAATATTCTTACACTCTAATCTTTTTATTTTTTCTTGAACCATAGTACAATCATGTGAAACAGTGATAGTAGATTTTTCAAATTAATCAATTAGAAAAATAACAAGATAAATTTTATATAAAAAAAAATAGTAGATCTTAAAAATTAATCCATTAGAAAATTAACAAAATAAATTTGATAAAACATGAGCATATGCATATATTTTCAAATCAACTAAGTTATATATGCCCACCTTATCTGATTAAGTTAGATCTTCAGCAGAAGAAAAGAATTCACACACCAAGTATTTGGGATATAATAATGCTTTCTTGAGTTAGGTGGTGGAATTAAACCTTTATGTGGGTAGTTTCATTGCACGTAATTGTACTACCAATGGAAAGCTGGACCTTCCCGACGCATTCTTGGTCATCATGATATATAGGCCACCACCGAATTCTGTCATTCTGCATAGTTTGGATAATTGCATCATATAACATGTCATTAGTAACGAGAAATAACAAAATTATTAGTGATCTATCATTAAAATATATAGGATGCTACTACGTACAGGATTTTCCATCAAGGATGAGATTAAAATTGTAGCTCGTCCTTGGACAGTTTTCTTAATATCCTGGACTTCTAGTAAAAGAGCATCTCCATGGTTCTCTGGAAAACTGATATTACACACATGATATTGTAAGATCTTCCTTAATATTAACAGTCTAGACTTATAGATTAGATAACAGAATACCAAGTATCATTTATAAATATAGAGTATACAAAGGAATCACAAATTAGTATTTAGTAGGTACACCTTGGACATCATTGGTCAAAGTGAATTAGCAACTTACAAGACATGGTAATCACCAGTTCCAGGTCGCAGGGAAATAGCAGAACCTGGTTCGACTTGAATATCTTCTGTAGCACTCTTTAGGTGAACTAAGCATGATAGTGGTTCTGCAAACATGAAAAGATATTTTCAGTATCCAATGAAGAAATGTAGTGGGATGCCTACAGTTCATATACATGGTCTCAGAAACTGAAGTTTTATTTTGCTTGAAACAGAAGCATTGGAAACGCAATGGAGACGGGAAAAAAATGGAAACATAAAGTCACTATGATGGAATTGAGGAGCATATGTGGATGTGAATAAGTTATCGAACAATATTGATTAATTTGTTATGAACTCGAAACAATTATAAAATATTCTAAAATTAAATTCCTTCTGAAATAAATAATTATAATAACTAAATATACAATCCTGACACAATAAGCTCATTGCTATATTATAAACACAAGGTAGACATTTTGACATTAGATGCACGTAAATAATCTAAGTAAAATGATTACTCCTAGTAAATTAGATCTAAGTAAAATGATTACTCCTAGTAAATTAGCCTATTATAATTAGCAACTAAGTAAGAAACTAAGTAATTTTTTTTGTAAGTATAATTAGCAACTAATGCTGTGTTTGGTAGGAATGAAAGAAGATGTGTGGAGAGAAAATAGGAAGGAATGAATGAACTTCCTTTGTTCGATAGAGATGATACAAGGAAAGAAAGGAGAATGGGAAGGATGACACATCCTTCCTCCTTTACAAATTTTCATCCACCCAAAAATGAATGGAAGAAAGGAGGGAAGACAAGTGGACTATTATAGAAGTTTTAAATTAAATACTATCCTAAATTATACAAGTTTTAAATTGCAGTACTATCCTTTATAAATTACAATAGTATAAAGGTTATTGAATATAATGGTAAAAACAATTAAAACTTTCTCATTCCTTCTCTCTTAGCAAACATAGTAAATTATGAGCTTATTCTCTTCTCTTCTATCCAACCAAACAAAGAGAAAGAAATACACAATCTCTTCTCTAAGGGTGTCTCATCCCTTCTTCTCTTCCTTCCATCTAATTTTTTTCTTTCCTAACGAACAGATAAGTATTACAAACTCTTCTCATACCTCCTCTTTTTTTCTACTTGTTCTTGTCCTTTCAACCATTTCTTCTAAGGAAGAAAAGATAGAGATATCCCCTATATGTTTGATGTTTTAATCCTTCAATTGTTCCCATCTTTCGAAAAGGATGGATTGCTACATTTATCAATCCTTGGAATTGCTGTCAGTATTGAGAAACTTTTTTGACCGTTTCAGTTTGTTTTGACCATTTTTAAACGACTTCAAAGAACCAGGTGAATTTCAGTACTACACCTATATTTCTTTCCTCTTGATTGAAAACAAAAATTTCTCAGCCGTTTTAATGGGGGGAAAAAAAAGGAAAGCAAATTTTGACCTTGCATGGCTCGAACTTTTTGTATTATAAGCAAAAGTAAGTGGACAGGATGCATATGCATGGTTATCAAAGATGAAAGTGCGGATTTGACTATGAGGGCAGCCACTTTATGCAAATAATGTCAGAAGTTAGGTAGGGTGGTCCATCCCTCCCAACACCTTATGTTAACAGAATCAACATTAAATAATGGCCTTTTTCTATACACTAAGTGACCACAGTAATGTACAATTGTTTAAACCTTTTAAGTGGGTGTGATTAATGCTTTAGGTTTACGTGGATGATTGATTAAGAAATGATTCTAAATTTTTATGTCAATGACCACAAACCTTCAGATGTCATTGCAAATGAGGCTACTTTAAGAGAATTGATGCCACTTTTCACAAGTGATGAAACATGCCGGACATATTCTGCTCCCACTTGGATATAGATTGCCCCCCGCTGCGAGAATGTGCTCTTAAGTTTCCGCCTTGGTATTATACGAAGCTTTTTCACTGCCAACAACCAACAATTATATTTCACAATTTATAATCACAGATACAGTTAAACTAACGTCGAAATGAAAATCAGATCAGTTCATTGTGTCGAGCAAGATATAGAATGATATTTTCCACGTTATGATTGTAAAACATTCCCTTGAATGCCACAACACTTTAATTGAACCACATTAAAAACTGAAGTCCTCACTGCTACCAAATAAATATGAATAACTGTAATATAAAAATGCTCCAGTTAAAAGAATTCAAAGAAACATACTTAAAAAAATGGGTAATTGTAATTTAGACAAAATGAAATTCATTAACAGTGCCCATAAATCTTGAATAAAAAAGTAAATTTAAGCTCATACTTACGAATAAGTGTGAAATACAGAATAAGGTAATTTCTAAATGCAGTTAGATTACAAATTAAGACCATACCTTCCACCCGAATTTTTCCAACTACCTTCTCTGGTTTCAGAGGGCATGCTTGTTCTGTACTCCTGGCAGTGCTCCTTTCTGGTAGTTGTGTACCTCGAGGTTGCAACAAAAATTTGTGCAGTCTAAGAATGAAAGAGAAATGGTTTCCAATTAGACTTTAAAACTAGCATTAAATCAGGACTGCTTACAAACCATAAATGAGATATTAAATATACAGGAACAAGAAGAAGGTAGCATACCCAAATGCACTTCGAAGAACCAAGCACTCGTCATGTAAAAACTCAGGCGCCTCTGTGCAGCCTCTCGCCCATGCATTTAAGCATAGGCGAATGCATGCATCATAAGCTATAAGCGTCTGCCATGCATATTGTCCACTGCAAGAAGAGAACTCTTTTCTTATTGATATTTCAGATCAGAAAATTATCGTGTGTATATGACTTAAAAGTGAAGTACAGCATCAAGACAACCATTTTCGAATGGTATTCCCATTTCAATGACCCTGACCATTCAATAAAAGACTGCCATTCAGATAGATAATATCCCTAAACCACATTTAGTGAACTTTTCTGAGGTTCACAAAACTCTAGATCAATAGAGGTTGCCTAACAACTGTTGAGTCTGGTTGATGCATAAAAACTCAACTCACTAAAATGTTAATCTTAACTACAGTCTACGCCATTCGAGCCTATTCATCGAGTCCTTGAGAGTCATATTCTTAAATTCTGATTAAGCATTATTAGGTGGAAAAGAGGACCTCTTGCCTAGTTAACATGAGGTCAACCCCTTGTAAGTTAAGGAGTTATAAAAATGGATTCCACACAGTTCATACCCGGTGCTATAATGGGGTGATTGATCCAGTAAGTTGGCTTGCCAATAAGGTGCTGGTGCTTCCATTTTATTTTCCCTGCACAATAGACGCTGTCAATATATTTTGGAAAAATGAACAAAGAAAAACTCAAGGCACTGCTTTCACACACCAAAATTGAATAAACCTACAAGGTATTCTACCTTTCACCTAGTTCACTTTTTGGAGATTGAGCTCTGCAATCTGAAAAGTCATCTTTACTAATATGAAAACCCTCTACTGATTCTTTTGACATGCGAAATCCATTGCCAGTTTGCTCAATTTCGGCCCAACTGCCAGAATCCTTTCCTGCCACTCTTTCGACTTCAGACTTATTTCCTTCTCCTTCAACATCCATAATGGGAGGTGCGCTTGGAGTTCCCATGTCTGCTACATCATTGGGCATAAAGTTACTAGTAGGAGTTCCCTGCAGTCATCATTCAAAACAAATCATATACAATCAAGAAACAAACTGACAGATATTCCTAATCTCTCTAAATTTCATTATTTTAATATATAATGCAGTCAATTCTTACATATGCATTGTGTAGTAGAACCTTTTCACGCACACGACAGCTGCCACCTGGAACTGCATTTCTCTGTGCACATCCCCTAAAACCCGATTCACCATCCGTAAATCTTCTTACATTTTCCGGTACTTCAATCCGAAGACTCTCCTTTGAATCCCCTCTATTCAACACATATCGGCCCTCTGATCTAGCAACTTTACTTTGATTCAATTTTGTATTCGATCTTGCCCCAAATATTTCTTCTTCATAGTACTGTTCAACAGGCTTTTCCAAAAAATCAGTATCACTATCCCTCAATCCTTCTTCCTCAGAGTAATTCTCGTCTAGATCATCCGGACCCGAAGCCACACTCTCATCATCCTTGTCATCTTCATCACTATCCACACCAAGAGTGGCTGTGTTATGGGGACCCAGAAGGCTAGAATGGAATTTCAGGGGAGGCAAAACATGGGTAGACATGTAAGAATTACTACTATGGTACGCAAGAGGAGATTTTGGAAGTGGGTATTCATGATCGAACTTCTCGGTTAACGGAGATCGAGCATGGTGTTGCTCTACATCCGATCCCTGCAAGAAAAAAATTCGAATCGCATTCAAGATTGAAACCCTTAAAAAAGAAAACAGAAATATATGTATATGCCCGTATATGTGTGTGTATATATGTGGGTATATCGAGATATATCAGGAACAACAAGAAATTGAATCTGGAGAAAGAAATCCTTTACAAGTAAAACAGAGCTTGATAGAATATTCAGGAGTTACCTGTTTGATCCAGTTGATTGCACTTTCATCCAATCCTTCAGTGAACATTTTAAAGTTTATACTTCAGAGAGAGAGAAAGATTGAAAAGAGAAGATCGGAAAAGCGAATGTGTTTGAGAATGGAAAGGGTTCTTGAAGACGACACAAGAAAGTGTGCGGAGCTGGTTGGGGTCACCGACTGATAACGGCTAGTTTGACATTTGATTGTTACGTATTTTAGACAGCCCGAATTCGAATAGAACAAGACACGTGGAGTGTCCGCAAAAATGGTTTTTCTATGGGAGTCGCTTTTTACTGTATATTATAGAGAGAACTTCAATACTCTCTCTTTATTTATTTAATTTTTTTTTTTTTAGAATTATAGTTTAATCCTAATTTTCAATCATAAGAACCATTAAGTCCGATAAAAATTCTATTAAGACAACAAAGTCGTATTTTTTATAAAATATTTCCAAGTGTTTTTAACTCCACTAGAACAATTTTTTTCCATTTTTGTCCTTTTTTTATTGAATACATTTTAATGTCTTTTCTTATTAAAACAAATTAGGCATATTCTCCATCAAACTTATATAAATTTACCTTTAATTTTATAAATTGTTGTTTAAGAAAAAATCTTAAAGTAGAAAATTTTAAAACAATTTAAATAATTTTTAAATATATATATATATATATATATATATATATATATATATTTATGATTAACCACCCAATATAATGTACGTACACTTAGATATATATATATATATATTTATGATTAACCACCCAATATAATGTACGTACACTTAGACGACAACTATGATGACTTACACGTATCGATGACACTCAAATGTTGAGTAATTAGCGATAGCAGTCGACACGATGACATGTATTTGAGTAGTTAGCAATAGCAGTCGACACGATGACATGTAAACATCAATGCATTGCGGGTACAGCACCATATGTTATTACTGCACTAGATCCCAACTCCATTAGAGTATAAGAAAATTTATCCGTTCATTCTTCTTATAAACCAGAGCCTGCTGTTCTTGTAAATGCTAATGGGCGTTTTCAACAACACACATTGTTTAGACGATCATGTTATGTTGATGAACCTCGTGACTTGATACTTTTCACTGCTGTTATCCCAGGCCAGTGCAATGATTTGAATCAAGGTAAGCAGTATTTTGCTCTGCAGAAATCAACAACTAGGTTCTCAAATGAATAAGATTGATTTACACCATTTCTAATCATGCGGGGTTAATGTGGTATCAGAGCAGGCAGTTGAACTTCATCGTACCCTCCGGCCAGAGTCCGGGTAATACAGTTTGATAACTGGCTGGACCAGTGGGAGTCATACCTTTTGAATCTTGAGTCGATGCCATACCAAGTCTATGCCAATAATTTTGAAGTGTATTAACATTTTCAAAGCAAATACAAGGACAGCACAAACAGTCAAGAATAAAAACCCCAATGGACATTTAATCTACCTTTCTTTTCAATTATAAATGGAAAGAAATACAAAGATAGAAAGTTCAATCAGTTACAACTATTTTTCAGGTCCATGAACAGGCAGGACAGGAAAAAGGACAAGGAAAATGCAGAACACAATGAGAATGAGGTAGCTAAATCACAACTTCAATACTATCAAAATCTCTAATCTCAGCAGGAACCAGAAAATATAATGGGGCTTCAATGCAATTAGCAAATAACCTCGAGGCATCTCAGTGCCGATGCAACACGATCGTGTACAGAATGAAATTTAGCCATAGAAAAAAGTTGGGACTCAGATAACTTTTGCTCAACATACACATCATTAGTCTGCAATCCACCAATGATATTCGCCTAAGGTATATTTCAATCAATCTTCACTGATGAGAAAAGGTAGTGTACGAAGTAGAAGGATGTAAGGAAGCCAATGGTGCCAGTGGACAACATGATCGCGACTGCCATGATCAATGAATAACCAAGATAAAGTATGGCAGACACAGGCCCACTCAAACTCTGAAGGTCAAAAACCAAGTAATTGATGGAGTATAGGAACACATAAAGAGCAACGGAACCTGAGGCAAAGAATGCTTTCCACCACCACTGCCAGTCCTCCACACACAGATGCATGTAGGTGAGGACCACAGACACTTCGGCACAAACAGTAACCAACAATATAAGAACAACAAGCAGGAACCCAAACACATAATAGAACCTTCCGAGCCAGATGCTAGAGAGAATGAAAAAGAGTTCAATGAATAGGGTCCCAAATGGAAGTGTTCCAGCACCAAGAACAAGAAACCATGATGGATATTTGCGTGCAGGGATCTCCCTAGGGATTTGGTTAGTTCGCACGGGGTATTGAATAGGCTCAGCTCTTGTCCCTAGGTATCCTCCCAAAAGGGTCAGAGGCACGGAGACACAAAACCAGAGTGATAAGAGTATGAAATACAAGGAAATGGGAATGGCACCAGTACTCTTGCTGCCCCAAAGAATGAAATTCAATACAGTAAGAACAACGAAAACGATTCCAGGGAAGAAGCATGCAACTGACCAAGAAACTGATCTCCATCCTTCTGAACTCCCCTTAATAGTTGCCCATAGACGAACACCAGCATAACCAGCAGCTGTCCCCAGGAAAAGGTAAAGAATAATCATACCAGTCAACAGCATTCCTCGTGAAGCTGGTGACATAAAACCAAAGGCAGCAAATACAATAGTAACAACTGCCATCCCTGTAATCTGAACACCATCTCCAACCATCACACAAAGTAGCTTTGTGCAATTTGGTTCCCTAAACACGTCACCCACAACAAGCTTCCACCCCGAAAGCTCTTCATTCATCTGTGCTTGAGTTTCTTTGTCCAAATCCTCATACCTCGTCAGATCCCTTCTCACCGTCCTTAAAAATATAACAAAAACAATACCAGCTAAGAAAAAGATCACCATCAACGAGTTCATGATTGAAAACCAGTGGACACGGGCACCTTCCATCTTCAGATAAGCATCCCATCGGGACGGCCATCTAATATTGCTTTTCACAAATTCAACCTCATAAGTGAATGATACTCGCTCTTGCTCCCTTATGATTTGAGACTTATCAAGCTCCACTGGACAGCTTACAGCTGTAAAATTGTCATAGATATGGAGCTTCTTCATTACTTCAGGGTCATATTTCACACTGCAAGGGAAAACCTCAAAACCAACAATCTCATACCCATTTGCCTTTTTCTTATCAGCTTCTGAAATTACACCCATACCTTCTTCCCCAGTACCAATTATCTCCACGCCAGTCCCTTCATACTCATGCACCAAAACCTTGAATTTGAGGTGATTGAAAATGTAATCTTTGTCACTATTGGGCAGTGCATACCCAACAGGAAACCCTGTCCAGTGAATGTTAATCCCGTTTTGCTTGGCATACCTCATTGCAGGCAAATTATCCAGAATCATATTTACTTGATAGAGATCGCGAGTTCTCTGCTTCAACAGCTTTACCTCATGCTCACTTAACGAATTCGTAGTGCAGAGGAAGACAGTCTCATTCTTGTTCATGCGAAAACGGTAGGGAGAATTGTCAATCTGATCTCCCATAAGGAGTTCACCTAGATTCTCAGCGCTTTTCTTCACTCCCCCAAGGGGTTTGCAGTAAGGTAGACTGTAATAGCTAAAGGGAAGCTCAGTTTCAATAGATGTCAATGAATTAACTTTGGCAAGTATTTCTTCACCCGTTGAGTAAGTGTGCATATAGCTTCCTGGCAGATAAAACCCATTACAAGCATGCAAAAAAAGAGCCATATATATGAAAGCCACCCAGTATGTCCCCTTTCGGATCGCCATTGGTTAACAAAAAAAACACAGAACAGATCCCAGAGACTGTGTTTGATCTATGCTGCAATAAAGACACACTCAATGTTAAATCCAAATAAGATAAATATTAAGTGTCAAATCCATAATTGATCACTCCCAACTTCAATTAATATTTATGAGAAAGAAACCCGATCCCTTCCCCAATAAACACACACACACACAATGGGAGAGTGAAAAAATTTATTGAAAAGGAAACTGTTTCTAGTCACAAAGTATAGATCTATGGTCAATGATCTATTGATTGACCATTAGATATAAGACTGATAAAGAAATAGTCTGATCTCTTAATTCAATTCTTCATTCCTGAAATTAATAAAAATCAGGTAGTAGCCTACCCCTAAAATGTGTACATCTATACATATCTATGCACATATATTTATACATCATATACCCAAAAAATGAGAAACTTAAGTACCGGTAACAGAAAAAAGACACTTAAATTGGAGATCTATTGATTAATGAAGAAATTCAACTGCCAAGAATCTAAATCCAGAGAACAGAAAAACAAAAGGCAGATCAGAGTAATCACACACAATAGCAAACAGATGAGTAGGAAACAACGAATCTTGTACAAGTCCATAAGTTGAAAAGAAAAGAATCAATGAAATTCCATTCCAACAGTAACGGATTGGTGATCGTGTTGTCGATACAGATCTACGAATATAGATACATGTATAGATACAGAAATAGAGTGAAATACTGAAGACGTACCTACGGCAGATCTCCAAACTGAGCACAAGTGTTGGTTGATTGTGGTTTGTCGTTTGATCGGTCAATTAGGGTTAACGGTGGTGAGGACGATGGTGAGCGTTTGGAGAGAGGACTGGTTTGGGTTTGATATTTGTGAGATCGAATATGGAGTAACCCTAGTTAGATTTAGATCCTCTGGTTTATTGATTTCTAGTTAGCATTAAAGTATAGTAATAATAGTGTATAAAATTATAGTGCGTTATGAGCCCATCGGAGCCCAATTACCTTTTTTTACTACCCAGTCCTTGGGCCCAATCCATTTGATTTACCTCCTTAGTTTGAGTCGAGCCCTAAATTTTTGTTTTAGTTTGCTGTCCCACTAATATTCCATTTTTTTTTTTTTTTTTTCTTCATATATAGTTATATTACATCTATAATTAGTGATATTGTAATTTGTAAGTAGTCTTATAATTATTATATAATTTCTATAAAAACTGTATACTTTTCGCAAAAGAAAAAAATAAAAATAAAAATAAAAATAAAAAACTGTAATACTATAAGTAATATAGAAGTATTGTACTAGTGTTCAATTACTTGTACTAATATTGGGCTTTTGAGGTACATAATTACATAGTTAAAGGATATATTTATAACAATATAATTAATTAAATAGGTATAATTGGGCTTTGAAGCTAATGAGAGCCGACAAAATCGTAAAAAATAAAAATAAACAGCCTAGCCCACCCTCAAGGTCCGCGAAAAGATATGTGGTGATGAGAAAAGATATGTGGTGATGAAAAAAGGACTAAAGTAAAAAAAAAAAAAAAAAAGAAGGAGAAGAAGAAGAAGAAGAAGACTAGGAAGTAGAGACACACTTATTTTTTTCTATATATAGGGCTAATATGAGATAGTATAAGATACAGAGTTTTTTTTTTTTTTTTTTTTTTTTTTTTTTTTTTTTTTGGGGGGGGGTGTGTTACCAACTCATGAACGTAGTTTGTATATTTACTATATAATGAACCAAAAGTGAAGACTTTTTATTTGAACCCCTTTTATAAGCTAAAATTATATATTCGTTCCTAAAGTTTATTTTATGCACAATTTAACCAAAGAAGAATTTATATAAATTCTAGAATTCTTGCAAACAGCACTTAGAAACTGTTACACTTCATTAGAATCCGGTAATATAACACCCAGCCTTCAACGAAGAATAGAAGAACTGAGATCTAGAATTATTCTAATACAGAATATTCTAGAAGTTAGACGACAAAGATTTTAATAAAGCTTATGAGTAGAATATAATTTAATAATTTAGATAACTCTATAAAACGACTAGGAGAAAATCTAGATTATATTAAAACCCAAATAGACCAGAATTCTAGTCCAAATAATCTAGACAACAAAATAATATTAGTCGCTACTAAAGACATAAACAGTGACATTAAAAATATTATAGAAAATCAAAAAATAACTATAGAATATTTAAAATCTTTGAAAACAGATATTCAAATACTATTACAATAGTTTTATGAGCACTAGTAATCCTTATTATCTAGCAGTTCTAGCCGAACTTTATAAAATTTGACAAAGACCATGTAGGATTTACAAGTTTTAAGACAAACGTACAATCAACTGATATAAATATTAGACAAAATAACTTTTTAATCCAGTTATTTAAAAAAGTTAATAAACTTGAAGAAAAATTAGAAGTAATACAAGAAAGTATTCCTAGAGAATCTTCTAAAGAATTATCTGAACTATCTGATAAAATAAAATATTTAAAGTTATCAACTAATCCCTTCTCGACTAAAATCACCAAGTGTGTAAATCTTTTACAACCACATAGAGAATGGTCATTATCCTTAGAAAAGCCAAAGAAATAATGAGGGTAGAAGATCTATATGATAATGAGCACGATGCTCAAAATTATATAGAAAAATTAATGAAGAAAGTATCTAATAAAGTTAATCTTTATTCTAATAATTTATTAAATTTCTAGAGCAAGATATACAATCATCTTAGCCAACGAAAGATAAGTGTAGTAAATAACCAGGAAATTTTAAATCTCATAACACCAGAGGCATGTCAATAGCTGGAAAAAAGTAAATTAGAACTTGCATTTAGGCGTAATAATGATTGGAATAGTAGGATTAAATAGATCAGAAGTAGGAACTAGAGCACTCACATATATTTATGATAATCGATAGAATAATCTTCAACAAGCACAAATAGCTAGCGTTGAAATAGATCTAGCAGCCAATGCAGCCATTATAGGATGTATTCCTAATTTCACAATGACCGCTAGAGAATTTAGTAAACATATAAAAATAGCCATATCCACAACAGGATATAATATAACCGGAAAATATGAAAACTTATTAATTAATATTTTATTCATGGGAAAAACAGTTAATCAATATAATTTAAAGCTCAAAGCTCAATTCAGTGAAATAGTTAAACCTTTTAGTAGTAAATACGTCCATATGATAGAGGCTAAAAAAGTAAACAGTATAACACATGAAGGAACAGAATGGGAATTACCAAATCTCAAGCAACCAAAAAGATTCTCAAAAACAATATGATATATTTAAAACATAGTGGAGAAGCAAGTATAAGGTTTAGTAATTATAAAAGACAAGATAATTTAACAGATGATATCGAAGAAGAATTTTTAACTACTTTAGTAGAAATAGAATCTCCCGAAGAAATAAATGTCCTTTATGATAGATTAGAAGATGAAATACTAGATAAAATAATGTGCGATTTTGACAATTTAGAAGTCGAAGACTTACAAAATAAGTATCCAAAACCTAGATACAAACGTATAGAAAGTATTTACCTAGGATAAAGAAATAACGATGATATTAAAAGAAATATTCTAAGCGTAGGATTTGAATCATTTTATACAACATATGAGTTAAATGCATTAAAAGAAGAATTAAATGTAGTTGAACATAAAGAAGGAAAAGAACCAGAAGGATTAGCCTCCCAGTCAGTTGACCAAGAAATACCTAATGTCACAAGTAGTACTAATACCATAAACGATGACTATATCACTGGACAACGGTTAAATCCAACACAAGAAACCTATGTAGAAAATATAAATGTACCAAACATGTATACATGGATACAAAATCGTAGACGTTACGATAATATACTAGCACAGCAAGCAGGAACAATATTAGACATATCACGACACGATCCCAAAGATTGGGCAAAAGTAATCGAAAATTGGGAGCAAGATTGTATTAGGCAATCTATTCTAACCAATTTTGATAATAAAACACAAGCCCTAACTTATTGTGAAAATTTATTAAGGGGAACAATCCATAATTGGTGGCAATCGTATAAAGTGACTTCTCTCAATGATTATACCCTTTTACGTGATAATTTTACATTTCAGAGTTTTGCTAGCCTAATAAAAAAGGTTTTAGTTGGCGAAGATAGATTATTAGACGAAACCCAAATAAAGCAAACAGAAGCTCTACGTAATTTAGAATTATTACAGATTTGTGATTTTAGATATATAAGAGATTACACTAATAAGTTTTTCGAATATTACGCAGCTACAGGTAAAACAAATGATATGACATTAATCGATAGGTATCTTCAGAAATTACCAAGAAGTGTAGGAACTAAGATATGGGGAAAATGGTTAGAAAATCCCAGAAGAGATAGGTTAACCATAGGAGACAGAGTAAATCATGTTTATAATATGTTAAAAGTAGGATGTAGACAACGTAAGGAATCTAAACAAATCAAAAAATAATTTTATTGTACGTGTAAACAAATAGACCTTCCACCACAGGATGATTGTATGCCTCAGAAAATTTTTAATTACAAGCGTAATAAACCTAAAAAGTATAATCTATGCAAAAGCAAAACCTACGAGAATTATCATAATAAAAAATCTTATTTCAAAAATAACCCCGGCCAATTTAGAAAGCGGCCTTGGTATAAAAGACAAAAAATAAATAAAGATAATAATAAAAAGGATAGTAAATATAACAAGGATAATAAAGTAAATACATTACCCACTAAAGAACGAAATTGCAAATGCTTTATTTATGGAGATCCAGGACACATAAGACCAAATTGTCTTTATAGATACATACAGAATCCTATCAAAAAGATACAAGAAAAGATCAATATACTTAAAGATATTGAAGAACAGATAGAAGAATTATATGAACTAGAAAGTATTTATGATTCCGAAGATGACAATGAAACTATATATAGTATCGAAAACATAGATAGCGATTTCGATAATGAGGAAAACTTTGAGCAAGGTCTTCATTCAATAGAAGATTTCGTCTACACTATAAGCAATCCATCATGTCAATATAATTTAGTTAATTTTTATTTTTCATCTTATAATTGTAAACAATGTAATACATCTATTAAAGAAGGTTATTACTGTGAAGACCATTGTAAAACTTTATTATGCCAAGACTGTTATATAAAATATAAAGATAAGCAAGAAGATATTATAGTCGAATCTATAAATTCAATATATAAACTATCTAGTCTAATCCAATTTCCGGTAACATTAAAATTTAAAGAAAAATTAGTTCAAACCTCAGTTATGTTAGATACTGGAGTATCTAAAAGCATAATTCAAAAACACTCGGTATTAGAAGAATCATTAATAAAATTAAACTATAATGTTAATATGAGTCAATATAATAATCAAAAACTCCCAATAACTCATTGCATTCAAAATATTCCTATATTAATTAACAACAAAAAGTTTATTTTACCACAGACTTGTGTAGTTAATAATATTTCTAGTACTTATGATTTTATTTTAGGATTAAATTTTATAAATTCACTCACTGGAGGATTCATGTATACCCACACGGGTTTACAGTTTTTTAAAAAAGAAACATTTATTCCATCCAACCCTCCTTATATTCCTCAGAAAGAAAAAGGAGCTATTACATATGTCAATACTTTACTTATGACAGAAGAAAATACAGAAAACTTATTCGATGTAACCGAATTTTTAGAAGATGTTTCTGAAGTCTTAATGTTTCTGAGTTATCTAGATGAACCAAAGATTTTTCTTAATAATAAAGCTATATTAAAAAAACCCCAAATTAAACATAAATAGTCTTTTAAGATTAGCTGAAACCACTGAGATTTTAGAAGAAGATCCCCAGAAACACTAATACGAAAATAAAATCGAAGCAAAATTAAATATAATAAATCATTTCAT